TTGCAAGTGGATGCCACTGATGTAAGGCGAAAATCAATTTTTTTGGGGATAAAATTGCGCCCTAACAAGGGCTTAATTAATTAGTACTCTACTTCTATAACTTCAAGTTTATCCAACTTCAACGGCATTAGAGTTCAAACATAATGCAAATGTTCTATCCCTGTAGGATTTTGATGCAGTCTATAGTTCTTATTTGTATAAGATATCAAGCAACCTAGTCATAGTATGGATGTCCCACAAATCTCTATAAATACTCCATTTTCATGCATTATTCTGGTACGTGTTTACATAATTTTAGTTCATAACCACTTGCATAAATTTCCTTCTCGCTAACTTAAGTATCAAAAGGGCGATGAGAAAACACATTGAAGCATTTGTTTCAAGTATATTGGGATCCTGTTCGTGCCATCATTAGTTGTCAAGTTCGAGATTTCATCGGTGCAGATTTTTGGTAGCATCATTGTCACCGTCTATGAGAACCCCTATCAAAAGCCATGGTTATTTGTAATAAAAATGTTATGCCGTATTTGTTTATTGTAGTTTTGAAAGTATCACTTTTGCTATCCAGAATCCTTAAATATTATCGAGGGAAGTTTAAACATGTACTAAAATGAATTATTTAAAAAATACAATATTTTTTTTTTTGACAAAGTTGTTTTACATTTCTAATATATCATTTTGCACTTGCGTATTGTGATATACTCATCATAACTTTTTCGATTGTCATAGTTACCACTGTCGTGATTACATCAAGAAGTTTTGCAAATCAAGAAAAGTAAAAAGTTTTTCAACAATTATGGTGGAACGTGACGACTTTAATTTGAAATAGATTTAAAGGGGAAAATGATAGATTTTGAGAAACGCTGGACGAGGAAGAACCACCCAAAATGATCAAGAAACTCCAAATCATCTTCCAACGATTGTCGCATCGCCTCGCTTCGACTAGCTAGTTCGACTCTAATTTTCAATATTTAAAAATCAAATTGGACATTGACCCGAAAAATAAAGAGGGTCTAGAGGTCAAATCGAAGTTAAATCATAATTGACCTAATAATTAAATTTATTATAAATAAAATCTTGTTAAAATAGATTACCATACGGATATATTTAAAAACTAACATTAAATTTAATTGTCTTTAAGTTTTTAATATTTTTTAATTATTTTATGTCATAAAAATTAAATGGACCCAAAAAAGGTCTTATACCTATTTATAAAATAGAAATAGGGAAAAATTCTTAGATAAGAAGTTAAGGCCTTGTATGATAGGGATTAAAATCGGATTAAAATTGAAAATATAGCCGTTATTGTTGACTTTTATTAGACGGGTGGGGCCCAATAACGGACAAATTTTCTATTTTAATTNATTTCAAAAATCAGATACTAATTAAAATTTATTTATGATTTAATTAATTAAATATATATTTATTTAATTAAATATATTAAGTCACAAATGTATATAAGTTGGTTACAAATTAACGATTTAATTAGTCACATATTATGTTTTGATCACGAATCAAAAATATGTATTATTTTACGGTCACGATTCAAAAATTTTATAGGTCACAATTTGTTCATCGGTCACAAATCAAAAATATATACGTCACAATTTATTTATCGATCACAAATCACAAATATTATAATTTACAACTTAGTTGACAGTCACAAATTGTCTAATTATCGGTCACAAAATTAAAAAAAATTTAGGTCACATATTATTTCTTGGCCATAGATCAACCAATTTAATGGTCACAATCAATCAAATAATTTGTGACTACAACCAACACTTGTGACCATCACTACACCACTCCCTTCAGTAGCACCATCGCCACCTTCTCCGCCTCAAACAAATCAACACATCACAGAAAAACACCATCACCTCGATGACTTGTTGCCACCGCCACTGCCACCACCAACAAAACTACATCCACTATTCATCCATAGCCACGGTAATAACCCATGTCTCCGAAAAATACCAATTGCAACCATGACCTGCAAACCACCATTGCGGAGCTTGCAACGTGCCATCGCACGGCGCGTAAATCTGGGTGTCGTGACAGTGCTTCCATAACAGCACCATGAAAATTTGGCCTAAATTAAAAAATGCAATTGAAACCATAAACTCCACTATTCATCCAACACATCAACGTTAGAGTCGTCGGAAAACAAGAGTCGTGACCACGACACCCAAGGCACTAGGTAGCACCTGCAACCCGCAACGCCAACAACCTAACCTAACACCACCACCACCTCACCACTGAGCATGTGGCACAGCTCCGGCTTCGCAGTTTGCGAATGCTGCTGCACATTGACAAGTGTCGCGGCTTCGCGGTGACTTGCATATGGTGTTCGACGTAGTAGAACGGGGAGAGAGAATGAGGTAAGGCAACATAACAGGGTCACTCGTGGCGACCTGTGATGGCGGCGATGGTGTCCGGTTACTTCGTTCAGCTTCACTTCGACGACTTCGAGAGGCTTCACTCCGATGCTTTCAGGTCGCTTCGCGACAGAGAAAGGGTGAGAAGTGAGAATAGATAGAGAGAAGTGAGGTAGTGCTAACAGTGGTGGTGCCGGTGAGGTGGTGCCGTGATGGTTGTGCTAGCGGCGGTGGATGGCTAGAGAGAATGTGGGATAAAGAGAAAAGATAAAAAATCAAAATGATG